AGAAAACATAGATCCAAAGCATTTAGGGTTGTATGTGCACCATAAGGTTGTTAGGGTGCTCAAAACCGTTCAGTGTCTTGGGCACCTAGTCAACCAGATGTGTATTCTGGTCTATCCGGGCAAGATGGAGGCCATGATGAAGTGGGAGATTCGGAGGTCTCCAACTGAGATTCGGAGTTTCCTGGGTCTAATGGGTTATTACCGGAGATTTATTCAGGACTTCTCCAAGAATTTTGTTCCTTTGAACCGACTGACCAAGAAGTCGGTGACCTTCCGTTGGGGGCCAGAATAGCAGGCAGCTTTCGAGACTCTAAGACAGCGGTTGTGAGAGGCACCGATCCTGACTTTACCGGAGGGCGTCGATGATTTCGTGGTTTACTGTGACGCTTCGATTACGGGCATGGGTGTGGTATTGATGCAGCAGGGTCACGTGATAGCTTACGCTTCGAGGTAGTTGAAGCCTCACGAAGCTAACTATCTAACGCATGATTTAGATTTGGGGGTTGTGGTGTTCGCCCTCAAGATTTGGCGGTATTAACTCTATGGGGTCCGTTGTACGATTTTCACGGACCACAAGAGTTTGAGGTACCTCATGGATCAACCGAATCTAAACATGAGGCAGCGTCGGTGGTTAGATGTGGTGAATGACTACAATTGTGAGATCCTTTACCACCCGGGCAAGGCCAATGTGGTGGCCGACACCCTGAGCTGCAAGGCAGTAGCGGCCCCGATTTGAGACATTTGTCTGAGGATGACAGTGATTACTCCATTGCTGGAGCAGATCCGAGAGGCGCAGGTAGAGGGCCTAAAGGAAGAGCGTCAGAAGTGCGAACGGATCATACCCCGGGTGGCCACATTTGATTATGATAGTCGAGGGTTGTTGACCCTGCATGGGAGGGTCTAGGTTCTGTACTGGGGCAGAGTACGGCAGGGTCTGATGGATGAGGCCCATAAGTCAAGGTTCTCCATCCACCCCTGGGCGACGAAGATGTATCGGGATATTCGTCCTGATTACTGGTGGCCCTGCATGAAGCGGGACGTAGCGTGGTATGTGGAGAGGTGCTTGACCTGCAGGAAGGTCAAGGACGAGCACTAGAGACCACATGGCAAGATGCAGCCGCTAGACATTCCGATCCAGGAGAGTATATCGTCCGAGAAGCTGGCTAATATATACGTGCGTGAGATAGTGGCACGACATGGAGTGCCTGTCTCGGTGCTGTCAGACCAAGATGTCCGTTTCACTTCCAGATTTTGGAAGAGGTTTCACGATGATATGGGTACTTGTCTCCACTTCAGTACCGCTTTCCACCCTCAGACAGACGGTCGGAGCGAGAGGACGATACAGACCCTCGAGGACATGCTACGTGCATGTGTATTGGACCCCAATATGTTGGGGAGAGGTCCGTCATAGAGTCATGGGTAGTACTGAGGTAGTAATCATGACTATAGAGCGGATCCAGCAGGTCCGGAGCAGGCTCCAGACTGCTCAGAGTCGGCAGAAGAGCTACGCCGAAAAGCGGCGTTCAGACTTGGAGTTTCTGGTGGGCGGCATGGTCCTCCTGAAGGTGTCACCTTGGAAAGGTGTCATCTGGTTCCGGAAGCGGGGTAAGTTGGGCCCCAGGTACATTGGTCCTTTCAGGGTTATAGCACGGGTGGGCAAGGTGGTGTATCGATTAGATCTTCCAGCAGAGCTTAGTCAGATCCACAACACTTTCCATGTTTCCCAGTTGCAGAATTTCTTAGTGGATGATTCAGCAATTGTGCCCTTATAGGATATTCAGGTTGACGACAGTCTGAACTACATTGAGAGGCCGGTGGCAATTCTGGATCACAATACGGAAACCTTGAGGAACAAGGTTGTTCAGCTAGTGAAGGTGCAGTGGCAGCACGATAATGGTTCTGAGTGGACTTGGGAGCCCGAGGAGGAGATGAGGGAGCACTACCTGGAGTTGTTTCCAGAAGCAGCAGACTTCGAGGACAAAGTCTAAGTCAAGTGGGGGAAGATAGTAGATCCAGAGACTTCCTTCCACCCCCTCACTTTCTGGTAATCAAGTCTCTAACTTGATCATTTGTTCATTAGATCTCCTTACTACCATTTTATAAGGGTTTTGGTTCAAGAATCTCGATCTTTGGGATTTGGAAGTCCCAAGTGGCTTACGTTTCAGATCTGGGATCTAGAAGGGGTTTCATGGCATAAATGTTCAAACTTTATGACCATGGAATCCCCATGCAAGCTTAAAGACGTTATCATGGCCTTCTAGCCCCAAAAGGCCATGCATTGAGGTAAAGTCTGAGACTTTATGTGTTCAAGTGGTGTGTAAGGCCTAGATCTGTGTTATGGATTTTGGACCAAGATATATGTTCTAGAGAGCTAAGGTTTGAGTTTAAATCTTTGAGAAGGACTAATAGTGGGTAAAGTTGGAAACTTTACCCTTAAAAAGGCATTTCCATTATGTAGATAAAGTATGGAGTTTGGATATGAAGAGTAGGGGCTTAATCCTTTAAGTTGACCCAAACAGACTAAGGAACTCGGCTAGTCCATAGAGGGACTCGACGAATTAATGGCATTATGTCCCGATTTTGTTCAAGGTAGAACTCGACGAGTCTTCAAAGGGACTCGACAAGTTGGATCGCGATTTCAGGATTTCCGGATTTATAGGACTCGGCGAGTCAGGGGATGACTCGACGATTTGAGTCAAATTGGATGGTTGACTTTGATTTTGACCAAAACGTTGACTTTGGCCAGGGGTAAAATGGTCATTTTACCATAAGGAGAATTATTAGGTTTTGACTAAGTGTTATTGTGATAATAATAGTCGGGGAGTCGTTGGAGCAGCCGTCGGAGATTCCTTACTCGAGATTTCAACAGTCAGCTTTACGAGGTGAGTTTCCTTCATTAGGAGCGGGTCTACGGCACCAAGGCCGGCCCGTATATGTGATACGTTAGTAGCCGAGTGAGGGCGGGGCCTGAATCTCATAGTAGCCGAGTGTGAGCGGGGCCCGAATCTCGTAGTATTATTTGAGTATAGATATGTGACTACTTGATAGGAATAGATATACTTCTTGTCAGTGTGATACTTGTATACACGTAGTAGCGGAGTGTGGGTGGAGCCCGAATGTCGTAGACAGCGGAGTGTGGGCGGGGACCGAATCTCCTAGACAGCGGAGTGTGGGCGGGGCCCGAATCTCCTAGCACTACTAGAAAAACAGCCTTTTACGACACGCAATGCGTGTCGTAAAACGCTCAGACGACGCGCAAATGCGTGTCAAGGAAGGCCCTGTCATAACGAGAGACGACACGCTTTTGCGCGTCGTCTATTTACGACGCGCATTTACGACGCACATTTATGACACGCATTTTCGATGCGCAGTTATGACACGCAATGCGTATAAAGGAAGGCCCTGTCATAAAGGAAGACGACACGCATTTGCTTGTCGTAACCTTACGACGCGCGTGTTTATGACACACAATACGTATCAAGGAAGCCTCTGTCAAGAAAGGACATGTCATAAATGAAGATGACACATTTTTTTGCGTATCGTAATTTTAAATGTTCAAAAAAAATATTATTTATAGATTTACTAACTATCAAATTAAATTTGCATTTAATGTCTCATAACAAAAAATAAAATACCATATACAAAAAATACAATCCATTGCATAAAATTTAATGTCATACAAATAATCGATCCAGGGAAAAATAAAACAAATCAATAGAAGTTGTTTTCTCCCTATACACGATTATCACATAGTAAATAACAAACTTTATTTCATATTCATACATATGATTACATTATTCATTAAAAAAACATATACCTACATCTTCACCTAAAATGTTATTACATGATGCAAGTTGGCCACTTCGTTGATGGATTACCAAGAGGAAGACCAACAACTGCCCTAAAATGTTCCATGATCTGCCCATACTCATGTCCTGTAACTTTAAACATTTAATGAGAAATTACTAACATGAATGGAAAAAGTACACTATAAATTTGTTTTTCCAAGAGTGGCATGGACGATAAGGTGCTACAAGTTTGTCCAAGCTGCCAAACAAAGACTGCATGCAAACCAAAACATACATATACTAGAAATTTAATTACCATACAGATAGAAACTTGGGAGTATTTATATTAGGTCATATCCTAAGAAGGCCCATAAATAAGTGATATGCTTAAACAATCCTCAATTGTTTTCTAGAGTGTGGTAGTTTGTTATTAACATGGAAGGCCCATGATTATCCTACACCATGAAAATTTGATCTTCTTTACTTTTGAAGAAAAAAGAAGGAAAAGAAAAAAGACTACATATGCACCTATTGGCAAAAGGCCAACAATTACCATACAAATTTCCAGCAACAACCATATGAATCTTGCATAAAAAACTAGTAAGTATCAAAACGTGTTCTACAACATGCAGATTTGATGTTTGTTGCTAAAATTTGTACAAACTTGCTTTTTCCATATAAAATATACACATTTGAACTTTAATGGGATCACGATAGTTGAAGTACAAGATTTAGTTCTTGTGCACTTCTTGCTGTCAAACCACCCCGCCTACAACCAAAAATAATCGATAACAAATGTTGTTCCCAAATCTGGAAGTTAATGTCATCAACTTCAAAAAAACATTTGTTTACCTTATAACATTTGGGAGACTTTTCTGGGTCTTTTGGAGCTCCACATGGCACTGGTTGCAGCATTCAAGTCTGTCATAAAAGTCAGATTGTTATACACAACTGAAAGTAGTTTGTGATTTCTTCAATTTAGCCCTTTTAAACAACAGTTTAAACTTTATACAAACCTTTTTTATGCATGAAGATCAACACCCACAGTTGGAGGTGCTGAGATTGTGGAGGTGATTAAAGGCCCAAAGACAGCTACAAGCTTCAATAACATTTCCAATGACCGTTTATATGTCTCTCTGTGTTGCTATCGAGTAATCCCAAAAGTAAAGGCAACAAGCAAGAGAAGTGATATAAATTTAAACACTCTGTGTTTTACAGCATAACACTAATCACATCTGCATGTACCTGAAATCAATCACACAAAATAACATGTCAAATGATAAAACACAAAGTATTTGTTGTAACAGTAAAACTCTACAGTGAATGAATAGTTGAATACTCACTGCATGATCTGGTAACTTCTGCAAGGAATTAATAGCGCCCCTTGTGTCATTTCGTGCCCAAAAATGTCCTACAACCTAGTCAAATCCAATCACAAATAAAACAAAAAGGAAATTAATTTAGAAAAAAGAAAGCACCCTAAATTTTTAAACCACGTGCTATGTTCATTTCATTTGATTAATAATAATACTGAAAATTAACAGGTACCTAAAGTTTTGTAAGGCGAGATTGAAGAGTGCTTAAAAATAACTCATGATCAATCATCAAATCTTCAGTATCATCATTCTTCGAGTTACACATCAAACCTCTTCATGTGGTTTGTGGATTATCTTCCTGCCAGTTGTTCAACCTCAAAAGTAAATCTATTTATTTTAATATTTATATAATCTATAGGATTATCTTACCAACAAGGGAGAAAATTTAGGTTTCTCAATTGTCATTTGTGTAGTAGAAGTAATTTGCCTTGGTACAGCTGGCAGATGTGAGGTTCTGGTTCTAATTCTAGTTCTTTCAGGTATCACTTGAGAAGAAGCTCTACATCTCCGTGCAACTGCCATGGGAGGTGACCTAACTTTTTTCGATATTACCCTTTGGGAAGCAACATGTCTTCTCTGAACTGATAAGGCCTTAGCTTTAGGGGAAGTCTTAAGTGACACAGGTGACAATTTAGCTTCTGATACTGACAAAGACGCCATATCATTATCAGGTGTCTTTATTGGTGATGTGGCAGTTTCAGGTATTTCACATGAGACCACATTGACAGGTGGATGTTCTACAGTGTCACCATTTACATACATGCTATCTGTATTAGGTTTTTGAGATTCATCAGTACCCAACTTTTCTTTTTTCTCAAATTTCTCAACAAGATTCCGAGTCTTTCCATTTGAAACTGCAACACATTTAACATGTGTCGACCTTTTGTTGGAGGAATCAACAGATACCTCATGGTTAGATGAAGATTTAGAGTTAGGTGTTTTCTCCTCTGAAGAATCAATCGCCACATCATCAGTAAAAATCCTTCTCTGAATATTTGTATTTGATCCATCTATCCTAGAAACAACAGGAGTCATGCCTGCAGCTTTACTTCAAACGATGAGTGTTACAGTTACAGTAACAGTAAGATAAAATAGGTAAAAGATTAAAATAATTGAGATAACAAAACAAATTACTGTCTACATATATATTCTTGATATCTTGTGTGTCATCATCTAAGGGTATAAATGACATTCTTGGAGTCTTAGTTCTCTCTATAACACTTTCCTGGAGATTAGTCTTTGGATCCACATGAGCTTTTTCTATGGCTATCATGTTATATGCATATGGTTCAATATGCTTCACAAACAGAAAGGTATACAAGTAAATAATAAATAATGTGAAATTATTTAAATTATGGAAGGATAAAGAATTAAAGATAGATATTGAAACATCTGCTGCCCAAACTCCAATAGAGTTTTGATAATATGAGCACCCTAAAAGCTTCCCATCATCAATACAAAGGTCACCCAATGTTGACCATCCTATATCAACATCATCATGACAAATTATAGGCTCCCATTAATACACCTTAAAAAAGAATCAGAGTGAGAATTATAGTTTCCAAAACGCAAACTATAAAAACTAATGTAAAAAAGAAGAAAATAGTTAGAACCTTTAAACTGTTGTCTAATCCACAAAAGAGTGTTCTTCCATCTGGATAAAATGCAACTGATCGTAACCCTGTTGGCTGTGTAAAATCAATAAACAAGTTATAAAAGAAAGATCATGGGCCCACGTTATTACATAGATTTTTCTAGAAGTATACCTCAGCCCGAGTTGTTCCAATCAATTCAAAGGTTTCCAAATCCCAAAATTTCACAGTTCTATCTGATGAACCTGAATTAACACATGCATCATCAAGAAAAACATAAAAAAGTTGAAAGAAAAAAGAAGCCATTGTTGGATGGATACAAACCTGTTGCTAGAAGAAACTCAAGAGGATGGAAATCCATTGATTTAATGTGGCCTTCATGTAACTTGAACTCATGCAAGAGCTTTATAGCAGTTAAGTCCCATATCTTTACAACATTATCAAGTCCTCCAGACACCACCCATCTTCCATCAGCGGTAAATCTGATTGTACTAATTGCTCGTTTATGACCCTTATATGTATGAATGCATCCTTTCTTTCGAATATCCCATATCTTCAAATTAGTATCCATGGATCCTGATGCAAGAAACTCACCAAAAGGATGGAATTCCAAGGCAGTGCAGTAGGATCGGTGTCCATTAAGTGTTCTAAACACTGCATTTAAGGAAAAAGAATTAGACATCGAGTAAAAAAAGTACTACGGGGACGTAAGGTGATTACTTAAAAAGTCATAAACACCCTTTGTCTCTTCTAACTCCCAGAGCATTACCACGCCAGAAGAAGCTCCAGCAGCCACCAACACTTGGGTTGAATCAAAATTTACAGATTCTATAGGGCTCGTGTGGCCACTTAAACTCTGCACCAACAAAAAATATATAATAGTTTAGAATCATTTGTACATTTTCTTCAATTCATTCTAATTTTAGAAACAGAAAGATGAAGTTTGGGTATTGAGACTATATATGTCTCTTTTTTTGGTAATGAGGATAGATAATCTCCATCCGAGCCAACTTCGTTTGACCAAAAGGGAAACTCGGGCCCTCACAAATACCTCGGGAACCATCCCCTTAGGAGAAGGCCGGTGGCTGTCAATAAGCTTTCCCTATAGAATCTCTTTGGTATTCTCGAATGAAATCTCAATAAGCTTGCCTTCATCTAGTTCAATAAACCCGCAAGAGATATGAATCGCTTTTGGAATCAGTTTCCATTTGTAAGAGGAGTATGAGAGAAGGAAGGCAATAGGGAAATTGATGCGGTGTGTTTTGGGGAAAGGGTTGTTAGACATCAGAAAAATGGAAGAGAAGAAAAGATAAGGGTAAAACCATATTTAGGGTTTTTTCGATTTGGGGTGTGAAGAACGCCTGAGCCATCACCACCAAAAACCCTAGCACGTACTAAGTCGATAGAAAAATGAGAGAATCGGGATTTAAGAAGAAAATAAAAGACCTCCCGCTACCTACTAAGAAGGAGAATCAATCTTTGCATTTGATACTTCATAGTGATAACTCATGGAATTCACAGAGTTTCACTAAGTCAAACCATGGAAAAGAGAAAAGTAGAAACGAAGGAAAATGAGAAGATGGCGGGGTTTTCTAATTTTTGGGATTTCGTTTCCCACTTAGCTATTAAAGGTTGAAAAATGTGCGTTCCATTAAAAATTATAAAGCGACATCCTTAGACGACACGCATTTTATTACAGGTGCCCTCCGTGTTTTATTTTGTTTGGACACTAATTTAAGGGCACGCAATAATGCATGACATAAATCCTTAAATTTTTTGAAGAGATGACACTTTTTTAATGTCACACGCTTTTGTGTAACATAAATCAATGAGTGTCATGGTTTGTGCGTCGTAAAAGGCTGTTTTTCTAGTAGTGTAGACAGCGGAGTGTGGGCGGGGCCCGAATCTCCATGAGAGTGGGCGGGGCCCATATCTCCTAGTTGCATGTTATGTGTGTGGTGTGTGGTAGTTTGGGGAGACTCACTAAGCTTCGTGCTTACAATTTTCAGTTTTGGTTTCAGGTACTTCCACTAGCAAGGGGAAGAGCTCGGGATGACGGCATGACACACACCATAGTTTTTAGCCAGGGATGTTTTGACTCTGATGTTTTGACACGTGATTTTGATACAGTATTTTAATATGATGCTTTGGGGATACATGACTTGTGATTTTATTATGATGTTGATGGATTATGGTTTTTCTTAAATGATTTAAAATGAAATTTTTGGACCGTATTTTTGGGATGTTTTAGCAATAGATTTTAGTGGATTATCTTATAAACATCATTTAATATATATTCCATTCTTGTTTGATTTATTAATCCTTAAAATAATTTTTAACCGTAATCAATTATTTTCGACGGCATTGATCCATATTTGGCTTTACGATGTGTAAAGGGATGTCGTAGACACACAACAAAGTATTTAGTTAGGTAATGCAGTTTACCAGTTTCAATCTCTTCTAAAACTCCTAGATATTTTGAGATTCATTGGCATGTAAATCTCGGATTGTGCTCATCTAAATTCAGAAATGAGGATATCGCAGATCATTGAGTAGATGGTGAATCAACCATGCAATATTGTGTGTCCCTTGATAGAAAATTATTCTCGCATTGACATGTCGGTTAACCACACACTGTCCATCAATAGAATAATTTTACAAGAGACACATCATTTCCAACTTATACTCTCGCAATGATGTGCCGGTTAACAACACACTCTCCATCATTATAATATAAGTGAAATGTGTGTTTTCATGGGTAACACATGACTCACGTTGTCTTTTTATAAAACGGGAATTTTATTTTATTTCTTTAGTTAATATGTGTATATTTCAAACACTTATCCAATCAAACCCTTTCGGTAAATCTTGTGGGAACCCATTTTTTCGATTGGATTGGTGAGGAATAATAATATCAAGAAGATAATCATATGAACAATGAAGAACATAATATGTGAGTAAACTGATAATGGATAGATAGAGCGACAGAAAATATTACATGACCAACACTCATGGCTAGGGAGAATCCCCAGTCAAACACCTTTAATCTAAAGTCTACATAGTGCACTCTTACTAAAATGACCACTCACCTCCACTTTATATATTAGTGGAGGGAATATGCTTTCTATACAAGGGAATATTCTAACCTAATAAACACTCATCATTGTAGAGCATTTTCAAGCTCCAATAATCTCCACCTAAATGCTCGGAAATGGTGAGGGTAAAGCAGTGATAAAAGGCAGAATATCCGACGGGCAGGTCCGATGGGTCTGGTGTTGAAGTGTGTCGGAAAAGCTGAAGCTGTCGTGATCACGGAATCTGGCAATGGAATCTCTATCGTCAAAGAACATATAGAGGAAACCAATCTCTGAATAAAATATGAAATCCCAATCTTCGAATGTGATCAGTCCCCAAAAATCAATCATGTTCACAGTCTCCCCCCTCGACTATTGAACCGAAGAGCACAATGTCGAATCACGCGTCTTCAATATTCCGAACTCAAGTGATAATTTACCAAATAATATTTGAAGAATAACCTGCTGAAAATGTGAAGCATCCCAAAGTGAATTTCGAATGATAAATAATGTGAATCCGAAGATATGGTCTAGAATGCCAAAAATTTGATCGGAAGATCAAATATAAGTGTCACGTCACATCACCAAAATAATCTTCGTCTTCCAAGTATCGCAAATCCAAACTCGATAAAGCATAAGATATGATCCGGATGAAAACACAAATGAGACATCCCAAAACGTAGAGTTTGAAGATAAATAGTTGTAATCTGAAGAACATCTAGTAATGCCTAAAATTTGATTTGTAAAGATCAAAAATCAGTGGCACATGACAATACTAAATCGATCTCCGTCTTCAAATGTCTCTAAAATCAAAACTCCAATAATAAATGAGAATGGATGCTCATAAAGATAAAAAATAATCATGAAACTATGCAAGAGAATATGCCGGATATGATGGAGCATCGCACGCTCCATCTTGATGTGAGCATCTACCCGAAGAAACGAGGATATTATTTCCTAGTAATGGGTAAACTTGGTGATGTTTTGTCGAACTGAAAAAACACTGTAGAATATATATGATAAAACCCGTTTCTGAAGAACCATGATGCTAAACCGAAGTAATGTCGATAACCGAAATGCAAACCCGAACTCCGAAAACACAACCAATGACTTGTCAATCAAGGTCAACGTGAACCAGTCTATACCTCTAATTGGTATGAATGATGGTTCGAGACCATATGCAACTAGTCTGAAGGAAGTAAAAATGTGAACCTAGGAAAGATCCAAACCTCGGAAAACATTGCTGATCAGATAAGTTTCTGAATGAAAATATGTGGATCCAAATCTCCGAAGCATAAAAATATGAGGTTGCAAATGCGAGTTGTTCGGAAAGAGGAAGAGCACACAAATAATAATCTATGAAGCAACTTGTCTTCACTCATAATCAGAAAGAAGAATGAAGTCTTGAACCATGAGGTTAAAATTGGTGTTAAAAAAACAATTGGTTTTAATAAAAAATAATAATTGGTTTTAATAAAAAAATGGTTTTAAGAAAAATAATTGGAATTAAAAAAAATAATGGGTTTAAAAAAATTGTTTTAAATAAAAGAATTGGTATGAAAAAATAATGGGTGTTAAATTAAAAAATTAAATAAATAAATAAATAAGATAATCGACAAGGTGGTCTCGTACTAAAGGAGTCCGAAATAAACAAAAAAAATGGATTAAAGGTGGATCCGAAGTGAATCAGACAGGTCTGTAACAATTTGATCCGAAGAGAGAAGGTTATAAGGCTTGCCTCGGAGGGAAGAGTGTTTCGTAGTGGGATCTCGGACTCTGTAACCAGACCGAGATGGGTGAAGTGAGCAGGTCTTCGAAATAGTGACTTCGAGATGGAGGTTGCGGAATGGCAGTGAGTCTCGGAAGGCGAAGTCTTTATGAAGGGCAATCCGAGGCGTCGTGCGAGGCTCAGATGCAATGCGAGAACTTTGCAATTAATTTTTCTCAGACTAGGAGTGTCCCCTCGGACAACGAGGTGATCACCTTGGCATATAGATGCGATGCGAGGTGTTGTCCGGAGTGATGAAAAGGTCTCGGATGTCAGAGGCTTCGGCTTGGGAGGCATCTTCGGACATGATGATTTTGTCACAACTGAACAGTAGATAACAAAAGATGTCAGACCATTAAATGCAAAGGGAAAAAAATGCTGAAAGTTTCATTATTTGTCTCATCCCCATATCCCGTACATGTCGATTTCCACCAATAGGACAAAAAATGTTTCCCTTTGTCAGACAAGTATTTAATGTTCCTTTGACCCATACTTTCAACATGCATGCATTAACAAGTCGTACCACATATTTGAGCACCTTTTACACTCTGAGATCAAAGTCCAAAACACATCAAAAGTTCATAAAATCCAAAATTTCAACCTCTGAACGAATATTTTATCCCATAGCACCTTTTTTGTCTTATTCAAAACACTTTTTATATGAGGATAACAAGAATCAAAACACCACCTTTTTCATGAAAAACTTCATTTTCTTCAGCATAGACTAAATATCTTCATAAATTAAAATTTAATAGCAGCAAAAATGTATGAACAAAACAGCATAATCTTTATTTTTCTAGCAACATCACCAACAAAAACAGTAAAATACTCGCAAAAGATTTTTTAGTTGCGAAGGCTGAGAAAAATGCTTCAAGAATGACGAAAGTCTCAAGGATAATAAACCAATCGGGATCGTTCCCTTGAAATAACTAGTTAGATCTTCAAGGTCCCGCTCTGATACCAATTGTGGAAACCCATTTTGTTGATTGGATTGGTGAGGAATAATAATATCAAGAGGATAATCGTATGAACAATGAATAACATAAAATGTGAGTGAACTGATAATGGATAGATAGAGAGACAGAAAATATTACATGAACAACACTCATGGCTAGGGAGAATCCCTAGCCTAATATTCTCTAATCTAAAGTCTACATAGTTCACTCTTACTAAAATGACCACTCACCTCCAATTTATATACTAGTGGAGGGAATACGCTTTCCATACAAAGGAAAATTCTAACCTAATAAACACTCATCATTGTAGAGCATTTTCATACTCCAACGACTCCAATCTCAAAACTCAAAGATGTGGTGAGGGTGGTAAGCCTCAAGGCTTTTAAAAACTGACCTCATTCGGAATTGAATACCTCCTTAAAGCTCTCTCAAAGCATTAGATTTGGTCAGCCTAGTGATAGTTCAACGGTAACATTTATGCTAAACATGTGAGGCCACATGTTTATAAGTTTGTTATAAATATAGTAATCTTACCATATATTAAATTTAAACATTTTAAATTGATATTCTTTTTTTAAATATTCTAAATTAATTCTCTTATTAAATAACATTTAAAGGTTTAATTAAATATTCTAATTTAAATCTTATTTAAATAATATTGAATTTATGAGGTAAATCAATATTGAAATTTAAATTCTCTTATCTTAATAATATTCAAGATAAATATTCAAATTTAAATAATATTCAAATTTTAATTAATTAAATATTTAGATTCAAATTCACATTAAATAATATTTCAAAATTAATCTAACATTTTAATATTCAAATTTAAACAATTAAAATAATATTTTAATCAAGAGGTTATCCTCAGGGTTTTAAAAAAAAGGATAAATCCGAATGTTGGAAATCTTGAACAGGCGCGCCGCGTCCAGTAGGGGGTGCACCGTGTCGAACAGGGCGCATGTTGAGAGAAGAACTTAATAACGAGATAATATATTGAGGAATAGTAAGTTAATCTCAATGGATCTTTGTTAGCTCAACAATAAAAGTTAGATTGTGGAAATGTATGAAATGTAAATAGCAGCAAGTTATATTAATAAGCATAAACAAGTAGACACTTAGTTGAATCATAACATGGTTTTCACTTAAACCATGTTAGTAAATGATGAACAACTTAAGTGAAGAGGGAATCGGATAAAGTATCAATTAGATAACTTTAGATAGTATAGAGATGAAGAAATCTTATATTGATAAGTTCAGAATTGGTACTTAATCATGAAGTGGAACCCTATATTTATAGAGGGCCAAAAGTTACAAGGAAATAATAAACAATTACAAAGTGACTGACTTCGGTGACTCTGAAAGGTACACCGGATAATACTAAGTTTACACGCATAGTCAGTAAAGATCACTTGTCACAATCTACAGGTTCACAGATGTCTTCGGGTCTTCTTCTCGTCTTCGGGATCCAAAAGATGACAACCAATATTTAGCATCCTCCTCTCCGGTTCACAAGAGCATTTAGGTCTTCTGGTCCTTCTTAACAGTCGAGGGTCACTTTCTTTTATCAATAATTTCCCTCAAAGTGACCTCGCATCTAAGTTCTTCATTGGTCATGTTTGAGAAATTTGATGAGGATCCACCAAAGTTTCCTAACTTCAGAGAGACATCTGATACTTCTGGTTATTTCAAGCTTCACCTATTCAGTGGTGTGTTCGAATCTATGTACCACAGTTATTGTGATCTCCAGTTGTTTCTTAGTAAGGCGATGAATGGTCGTGACTGGGATGAAGAATTTTGGACTTGATTGGGACTTCTTGTAAACAACCCCAAGCTTTGCAAAATTTGTTGCCTCGAGATTTATGTCTTAATAGCCCTCGGTGATTGTCAGAGCTGGTTCAAAGAGAGGGAAGTCAAATTTATGAGGAAGTATTGGGTGGATTCCAGCATCTACTTTCCCAAAGTCCCATATCAGGGATTTAAGAAACTCACATGCCCTTTCAAATGCAACCTTCATCTTTGGATAATTCTCAGCCTTAAGTAGGAATACTCGGGCAATCAAGAAAATTTCCTCCGGATTCACGAACGCGAAGCCTGCTTGTGTTCTTACGTAGTCACACCCTCTGATGGATAGGGTGTACAAGAAGAATTCACTCTTCATGAACTTTCTGGCCTTGTAGGTCTTGACTCCTTCTGGTCTATCTGTCGACCAGATGTTTTCAAACATATCACCATGTCAGGCATGAAAAAAGTTCAGCCTTTCAAATTCCATGGGAGTCTTCGATCGTCATGAATGGTGAGCTCAAAGGATAGAAAAACAAGGAAGTACTTGGAGTTGGGTGAGAGAGGAATATCCCAATACCCATCATGAGGAGGTTATTCATAGGTGAGACATGGAATGTAGTCTGATTCCCAAAGTCTTCGGGTAGGATTCACCCACGACTTAATGAGGGTTTCATCAAAAGTGGTATTGAAACCTTGGGCTTTCCATATCTCATCTGCAAATTTTGCAGCTCTCCAATCTTGTTTCCTTTGAATCGTGGCTGGGGAGTCATTGGAGTGAATTGATGAAACATATTCCTCTAAATTTTGCAAGTGAGGAGGAGTTTGAGGCCGAGGAGAAAGTGGAGGTGTTGAATGTCGAGGAGAATTGTGAGGAGTTGGTTCTTTGATGTGCTCTAAAGGAGATTAATGCCGAGGAGGAGTTTTGGATTGGTTCACCGAGGGAGTTTTTGACTTTGAAGATTTTGAGGATGAAACACTTTCAATCCTTATTCACTTATTTGGATCACTTCCCCCTTTTAAGGAAGTAGGCCCCATCTTCTCCTCAAATCATCAAGCTTTTGGAAGGTGGTATTGAATTAGGTTTCCATCTGAGCACTCACTTCCTTGTTTGTCGGAAAATCAGGATTGAAAAGTGTTTGATATATTCCCTTGGTAAGACAAAGGATTTCATCAACACTTGCTTTTGCTGTAAGAGATCACCTCAACCCTTTGACAGTGTCTTGAAGAACTTAATAACCTATTTCATAAGTCGTATGAGTCTCACTGATGAGTTATTGAGACTTGTTTTTTTGTTCGAGCATGGTTTTCTGAAGCTCGTTTTTAAGATCCTTCACGTCGTTTATGACAGCTGTGGCTTTCGAGATGAATTCCATATGATCAATAGTTCTTTTATTATTAAGTTGACGAATGTCCATTTCCAACCCTAGAAGCATTCTATCAGCAAAGAATTTCTCTATTGTTTCCAAGGCTTGAACTCGATCGACCAGTGATTCTTGAGTTGAGTATTCAGTTGTCTTCGGGGTTGTTGACGTGACTGCAGCAAGAATTTGATCAACCTTAGACTGAAGATCAATGAATTCTTTCCTTGACACTACCAACTTCTTCTTTTTTTGCTTGGGCTTGGAGGTGGAATGATGTGACCCATTGTATTCCTCTTCATCAAGAACCATTATGAAGTCATCGAAGGGGCGAGGTTGTTGGACTTCATCATGATTTTCATCATCTAACCCGAAGAGTGGTTCAGAAATTATTTCAATCTTCGTTCCTCCTTAATTAGAATCATGCACTTCAGTGTTGGTGGGAGGAGGCTTTTATCCACCAGTATTGTCTTCCATAGCGTGAAACCTTTTAACTGTGTGTTCCATATCAGACACCCATTTCTGAATTGTTAGGATTTCATACACAGTTTTGGAATTGTTGATTTCGGTGGCCCAATACTTGGCAACATGAAGAAGATAATCCTCTTTTTTCTGTTGCTGTTGAACTTGTCATGCTATCCTGGCCTGGACTGCCCTTTTAAAGGCTTCAAATTTCCTTATCCCTGATTCAATTGTTGGTCGATACCGAGACCAGGTATCATCAGAAGCGTATCCGTCAATTCCTTCTCGCACCGAGGTGTCCCTCGGGTCCATGGATCCTTGCATAATGGTGCTCACCATTCCTATGTCTCTTGGTCATAAAATCGATGGTGAATGATTTCCAGAGATTCCTCAATCTCCTTGGTCTGAAACCAAGTGTGGCATCGGCTCTGTTCTGGCAAGGGTATCTGAAAAAAAAAGACCCTACAGTGCAAGTGGTGTTTGAAGTGTATGTGTGACAAGAAAGAAAATGGATTTGAGTTCCTCAGGAGTTAAAAAGTGCATACATGAAGCCCTGGAGACCTTAGGGCAATTATCAACATCCGAATTCACTTGGAATCGGGATTGGATTTTGTCTCCGTAGTGTAATGAAACTGATACACTTATTGTATCAGAGTAGATAGATGGGGTTGCTTCGGGTGAGTCAGCATGGACTCGAAGGGCTAATGGAGTCTTTTGAGAGACTCCAACATATGCC